CTATATGTAGGTCACGAATTATCTCACATTCTCATGCAAAGTTCTAACTGATCGTTAATTCATTCTCAATTTGATAAATAAATTTGCATTCCTTGTTATTGATCTTTTCTTTCTCAGATGTCTTCATATCGATATTGATTCTGGTCATTTTCGTGGTCAGCATAGTTTTGTTCTTTCTAATGAAGATGTTATAACAACAATTGTGACGTGTATTTGTCTGTGTGAAATCTGTGTGTGTGTGAGTGTGTGCTGTGTGTATGTGTGTGCAATTCTGTCAAACTGTATAAAACTTTCGTTAAATTATTTTCAATAAAAAAAATGATACTGTGGTTTATTCCTTTTCGGAACTCAACAACGACTCACTAATAAATATACAGGGACAATGAGTAGTCGAGTGAACAATCATCTTCAACAACTAGGTCATCATATGCTACATTCACAATTCCACAATTATCGTGTTATTTAACAAAGGTCAAACTAAGGCAACGAACTGTGAATCAGACCTTGTTTCATGTTTAAGGACACTTGTGTAATCATAATCGGTCATTATGCTTCTTTAACACTCATGAACAGTAGGGAAGTGCTCCTGCGTAATACGTCTTTAAATTATCTACTCCTCGTGAGTATCATCACAATTCATTCAGAACGCTTATCAGTAAGTAGAGCAGGAATGTAATTTAGGACTCGACTAATTACTGATTACGAATTCATCTTCTTACTTCTCTGTCTAAATGTTCACGCTACTGCTCACTGTAAACAATTACTTTACCACTATTCAACAATTATTCGACTGTTATGTTGATTACTAGTATTACTATGAAACGCGAATTTTCAATAGAAAGATGTAAACAACTATCAAAATTTAGTGCATCCATCAAATAACAGCAGCATTTATTTTAGGCTGTCGAATTCGAAGCATCCACGTGCTTATTGATGGTAAAATACAGTGAAAAGAACTATCTACAACTGCCAACTTGAACAAGTGAAACAATATCCCGTTATTTTCAAAATTACAATAAGTTCATTCAGTTGCACAACAATAATGGCACAGTGCTAAATCTAACTGTCTAAACAACAATTTTAAGTGTAAATGTCATCCACACTCTCGTCAGACATTCTGACTGACACTCAAGTCCAACCACCAGCTGCAAGTGTCCGACACAATATACACAGAATACAAGGTCACAATATTGAGATGCTCGTGCCAGAAAACAAAATGTTACTACGACTAGATGAACTTGTTGGTGTCAATACTTCAGCATCCTTGAAAGTGGTTGCTATTCAGTGGATGTTTTCTGCATATATGATGCTTGATCTAATACTCAACGACTCAAGACCTATCCAGTGAAGTTGGTGATTTAGTGACTGAAACACTACAAATAATCATCAGTTTGCGCAAATGAGTGAACCTTGTGAAAACTGAAATCGACTGTGTTGCATCTACTACAACATTGATGGAATTTCGCAACAATTAAATGGTGAATCAATGTCCATTCTATTGTGAAATTGATGACCTGACAACAAACACAGAAATTCAACTGCACCAACTAGTTATCATAACTCAGTCAAGATAATTTACCCCATTCTCAATATAACCAGTGATAAGAAAAATCTAGCGATTGAAAACTTCACAAAAGTCAGCATATATGACTCGTAATCACCAGCTGAGGGATTCAGTCTACACTGAACTGAATGACATTTGGTTCAGTGTTAAACAGATACTTGAATAGGTCAGTTAAATTACTTTCATTGTATTGACTTTATGAACTCTTAATTATTATCAAGTGACTTGAGGTCCTAAAATGGAACAAGAAGATATAAGATGTCACGTTTAGACCACAATATCTTAAGTGTGATTTATCATCACCACGTCTTGACGACCAGAATCTCATTGAGTAGGCACAATTCGCCAACATTAATCAGTCAAGTGTTTTACCAAATAAATGAACTCTGTGTATATTTAAGTGGTTTTTGTCACATCTACTTGTAGTGACTTACTTTTACCACGAGAACGCGATTGGTTTGATGAAAACAATTATTATTATAACCAATTGTACCAGTGATTGTTTTACTGTGCTCGTTTGTTTAACTGTGCTAATGACAGACATATTGTGTGCTTCCATTATCCTCCGATATTGTTTCGCGGTTCGTGACTCTGCTCGCACGTACTCCATTCTGCTGCTTCTGCTTGTACCATTTCTTGACACGATCTTGGTATTCATTCGATAACACGAGTTTGCCAATTAAATAAACTTGGTTCTAATCCGCCTTCTGATTTTATTGACACGTATTTCTCAGTAGCGGTGTCCATAGTCAACTGGGACTCGACACCACACTACATGCGAAACATAATTCTAGATTCTGAATTCTTTCAGTAATTTGAACCTAGATTTATACAAAATGACATTGATGTTTCACACCCATAAGACTGATCTTATCACCAGTAATCTCTCAAAGCTGACCATCTCAAACGACTGTTCAACTAACCGGCTACGTTTTTCATTTGAAATAAACGTAGTGAAGAGGATAAGATGAGATGAGTCTGGTTTCGAGAACTCCACTGAGGTTTATTTGAAAATGGACATTTCAGATCACAAATTAATAACTGTCCATTACCAACAATGACACATACTACTGAATTGCATAATTCAATTAAAGTACAAATGCTAAATGAAATTGTCTACGCTTTCAATAATTGCATGAAACACATACATGTAACCGCATCGATTTATGTCAATATGTATACTCACTGGAATGTATCTCTGATACCTACATTTGAATATATACATATGAAGCATAGAGTTATAACGCTCGGTTTTACTTCGTCTAATGTTATAACGGTTGGTTTCCCACATTTACACGTACGCGACGTTAATTCACCTTAGACCAAATATCTAAACCAGATTCCCTCACAGTGTATATTCTACAGTAGTTCAACACATCTCAGATCAAGAACACTTGATTAGCCTGACCACAACGTAAATATAATTCCACACCGAAACCCGACACAATTCAACAACAACAAACAATCAATAATAAGTGAGTAGTAATATAAACAATAATAAGGAAGGGGGAATATACAACTCATCTGACACCTGTCAGACTATCTACATGTCTGACTAAGCAGACAACCAACCATTATCATTCTCGTTCACACATCACATACTTTGGATAAGTTCCATGTATCTCTACTGCTGAAATCATTAATAGCTCATCGGAGCTTTTGGTTTAGATAAAGGCTTTCAAAAGTGATAGGAAAGTGTAGTGTATGGCACAATAACAATATGTCTGCACTACGTGGTGTCTAGGTCAAGTTGACCCTCCATACTACTAATATCATAATCCCTACACATATATATATTCTCCCCAATGTCCAGTAGCACTGAATTTTCAATGCTCTTCTCTATCCAAATAATCATGGCACATCCTCATGCTGTTTGTCGAGATAACTGTAACTCTAAATGAAACAGTTGTTCACATTTAATATTACTTATATATAAATATTCTGAAAATAATAAACACGAGATTCACGCCAGTTTACAGGCATCATCAATTTGATATAGATAGTAACATTAGATATATAGAGAACAAACATGTGATATAAGATAGTTTTAAGGATTTTAGTTCAGTAATTGTTTAGGTAGTACATTACTACAATCTCCACAAAACCCATTCTGATACTGATTAACATATGCTCATTAGTGACTGGCTTCAAGATGTACATCTTGGAGTTCTAGTGAGAATCAGTAATCAGTGGAGTTCGACCGAGTCAGTTGTGAGATAGCAAATCACTGATGACAATGGTGATGTGTTGCTCAATTTTGTGGATTAGTTGAAGTTAGACATTAACATCGATGGATGCCGGCCGTCTCAGTGTTCTAATGGTTAAGCGCTCACTCGCGAGAGTAATAGGTTTTGGGTTTGAATCCCACGAGGCGGAGTCGTAGATGCGCGCTGCTGAGTAGTCCCACAACAGGACGAAACGGCCGTCCTGTGCTACCAGGTTTTCCATGGTGGTCTACCTTCAATCGACTTATGATCTCAACTATTGAGATTCTGATTATTACCCCGAAAAAGTCCAGATTAGTTTGTTGGACGAAACGTTGGAGTTATTTAAACTTAAATCGCTGAGATTATTTCACAACATAATTTTCACTTAAAGTTACTTTTCTTCACCTGACGTCCAATTCTTGTCAAAACATTCTTTAGTATATTGACGAGTGTTCGTATAAAAAGAATAAGACATTCTATAAATTTTCAGAATAAAGCTGTAATGATATTTGCTGACAAATGAACGTCGAAGGAGCGATCAAATAACACATTACACCGAGAAATGGAGACACACACAAGAAGAATGAACAACAATTGGATAGAACTAGAAAGGTAAGCCCACCACAGAGTGGATTGTGGAATGCTGATCTGTGACCAATGCCCCATTAGGAGTAACTGGCGTAAATAAGTAAGTCAACAATTGTATTCGGCTATCACGCTTTCAGTCGATCAAATTCAAATGGAAAATGTTTATTTACAAATCATAAAAGGAATGGGAAACAACAAATTTAAACAATGTTTAGAACTTTCTCAACACCAAGTCCCATATCACCCTTTACTGTTGTAAACAATCATGATTGCTTTGGATAACCATCCAATAATCCAACAAACAACAATATAATTCAGAATAACATTGCCAAGTGACAAACCTTGTGATTTGTATTGTAAGTAAGAATCTATTCATTTCATAATATCGTATGATAATTTCGATTAAATCTTACGAGACATCAGGCCATGAAAGAAAATCTTCAGAATAATTATTCAAATGACCTTATTGAAAATCAGACTACCAATCGTCAGTCACATCCTACTTACTGTATTATACAATTATGAAATATATTTAGTCGATATTTTCGCTCTCCCTCTCTCTATCTCTCTCTCTCTCTCTAGATGTATGTATATATACATTGAATGCAACTGTCGACAACCATTTGTAACTAGTTGTAAACATGATACAGTCAAACGAACACATCACCATTTACTTTGCAGTAATGATCGGTAAGTTTAATACTTTTAAATTGATAGTTGTTTCTTTTTATATAACTAAGATGTAGTGGTAACAGTTTTAGAAACTATTAATCTCGAGATAAGACTGTTTGTTCTAGTGAATATATATATTTATACATCTGAGCGAATGAATTCTGAAGTAAATCCAACGTGTTGCTTGGCAATCTGGTCCAAGATTTCTCTCCAATACAAATACATTCCTTCTCATTAATGTCTCACATCGAATCGGCGCCCAAATACGGTGAAACTATTCGATCAAATTTAGACAAAAGTGCTTATTTATTATTCTGCAATTGTATCAATTGATAACAGAATAGTTCGATAAAGGCACAGTGGTAACGTGCATTACATCAATCTTACTCCTCTAAAACTCAGATATAATGCAAACTGATTGGTTAGTGATGTGTCATTGTTTACAACTTTGTGATCAGTAGATTATGAGTAGTAAGAGAACATCACTCATTTTTCTTTTGTGACAATGTGATTCGTTGACAAATATGGATAAAGATGGTATTTTATGACACATAATCAGTAGTAAGTGAACTATAAAAGTGCAAATAGTGCAAAGCAGATTATATAACGATTTCCACAAATTCAATGAGTTCATCAATGATCATAATGGAGAGACATCCACTAGTATATTCATTGTGTATTTTAAATCAAGTGAGATTTGAATAATAAAACAAGCGATATTGAATTCGTAGAACGACCGTTCGATCCAGGAAATTGATATACATATATATATATGACTATTGCATCAACATTGCTATTGACATTGACAGCATTCATTCTAGTCAATCACTTGGAATTACACTCACTCGCTTATCACGATGGAGTAATCTAGGTGAAATGGTCAACGCATTGTGTGACTTCGATGTGAACATAGAGATCAGGTCATTTCTGTCGAACTCGAGTGTACTCACACCAACAGTATGGATCGCGAACGTTAATGATGTACATAGACTAGGGCTGTTTGTTGTGCAAAACTAAAATATATGTATATTGAATCAAGATACATTAGGCACTTCAATTAGGTTCAAGTTGTTACATGCGTTTCACAATGGAAATTCATATTAACATATCATATCGCATCATATTTCACTTCATGTTTTACCAAATTTGCTAGTATTCACGTCACTACACACGGGAAACGGACAATATAAACCTGCATATCTGCAAACAAATATGGTTGAAAGTGAGTGTGATTATTAGAATTATGAATAAACAACCAAGCATAATATTCCCGCTGTAAGCATTCGCTTCAATTCCCTCTAAATCATTACATTTCTGAAACGATCATTCCCTATTCCTATCATAATTCATTTTTGCTAGTGTCATGATAACGAAGATGAGTGGAATTATTGTAGGTTGATTGTGACTGCACAAACGACAGTTTATTTCCCTAGTTAAACGAAAAATTCATCACAAGCTAAATTACTCGTGACATCACCGAACTAAATCATCACGTGTTTGAAAACACTGTTCAAATGACATGGACAGTGTGTGAATAAACTGCAAACCGATATAGATTCCTATTGACAGTTACAACTGGAAATGGAGAGTATTCGAAGATGAACTTACTTCGTACAAGCAAATGAAGTTGTATGAAAGCATTTTCAGAAAATTGGTGATCAGTATAACTAGACAGAAAACAATCCAATCCACAGAACAATAAATGTGTGCATTTCCAATGAATCGTCCTAAAGATAATTGATAATATAGTATCATCAGCAGCCGTATACTCTTGCATAAGCAGGATGGAAATTCATCAAACATCGTTAATTAAATGCGCGAATTATGCTGTATCTTATCATTAGTATTTTTCAAGCTCATTCAGATAATCAAGATAATAAGTGTATTCGAATACGCAAAGATATAGCATTGCGAAAACACATTTGAAATCAGACAAATCAGGTGAGGGATGAAGTGTCTTGATGCACGAATCTATCTAGTACACCTTTGAACAAGTGAAGTTGTTGACTTAGTTAGAGACATCGTGTTTGTTCTCACAGTTAATTGTGTCACTCAATGCCATTCGTTCACAAACGTGTGTGTATCTGTGCTGATCAGCATACATTTCTCAGTGAACATAAATATGTTACTCGTTGACTACTCGAACCAGTATTCGATGGTCACTGAAATCTGATGTGAATCTGCAACGTAGGTGATGGAGGAGAACTATGTTGAACCCAATTATTAATTCACAATGAAGTTGAGACGTGAGACGTTGTATCCCATGGATCATTATTCACTTCTTCACCATGACTGGTTTGTTTGTACACTAATCCACCTGTGCATTAAACTACAAACATCACACAAAATAGAATGATCTCCAGTTAGATTATTTTGTATTTAACTGAGTTCTCGTAAATATACATATTTGTATATATATAATCGAAATCTTAATTTGTGATGTGCATCGCAAGTTGCAGTAACTGATCCACCATCCATATGTTCATCTTGAACTTGTCCAATCAAAACTGTGCATTCTGCAAAACAGACGTCGTATTAAACTGTTCAATCGCTCACATAAGAGAAAATACTCAATCATTTTAGTCGACCATCAGTTTATAGAGTAAATAAATTCGAGTGTCAGTGCCATCAATGTCATCACACTGGATAAACAGTCATACCTAATAAATTAATTGCACCCTAATCAATTTCTCAATTCCAAGTGTTTTCTCTTCATTTTCAAACAGACAATGCAGGTACAAATACTTTCCGCGTAATTCAAGAACAGACGACAGCCATGGCCTTCGAATGGGAAACAATGACTTACACAAATCTTGGTTATGTCTGTTTGCTTCAAGACATACGCGGTTGGCCGGATAAAGAAGTGAAAGTATTCAAAGGCAATATAGGTTTATTAGAAGCTATTGGCGAACCATGTGAACATTCAAAATATCGTGCCGAGGGCTACACCGATGACTTCTGGGCTTCTGAACTCGGCACCTTTCACATGACATACAAAAGAGGTGAGTTGTTTCTAATCTCTTACCTAACAATCACATTTCCAATCTCTGTTCCATCTTCATCACAATTATACAACATTCAAATTCCATATTGACATCTTTAGAGATCACACGTTCAGTGGAATGTTTGATTGCACTTCTTGTGATGAATGTCAATCTATGTATACGTTGTAACGAAGCCACGGTACTGCTCCGTTTGATATATTCACCATCAAATCACTGTGTTCATCAGCAGTGAAAATGTCACAGTGCATTCATTTTGTGCTCACATTCTTCCTTTCATTCCTTCCTAGTTCCGAGAATCAATAATGTTCGAATTCAGTTGAGGTCGAATCTGTATTCACACGTGAAGTGGGGAAGAGAAAGAACAGCCTGTGAACCAACTGATTCCATCATTATATTCAGAGGATATTCGAACCAACCACTAAAGATGTATACCATCACGAGCAACCAAATTGAGTACTATTCGGATGAATTCAAAACAGAAGAAGGAATGGAAGAAGTGTTCATTGTGTTCAACAAACATGGAAACCGTTTCTCTCTACCGACGATGGGTAACATTTTCTTTGCGTGTCTTATGCATTGCAAGATTTTTTCTGGCAAGCAATGTTGTGGAAGTAGAAAAATGTGTGCACATGTAGTGCAATCGCACATGTTTGTCAGTCGACAAATTTAAAAGGAATATCTACCAGAGTGGTTGTCTATGTTCACATCTGACTCACCCAAATGTAGTTCAGATGTGTGGTCCAAATAATGTTGTTTCTACGTCAAACAACAGTGCCTGCCATCACAGAAATATCGAAGTTATTCATAGTCACAGTTCACTGATCGGTGTAATCTAATCATAACGGTTGACATCATGATAATATATATCTAGAATAGAAGAGCTGGTCTGATTCACCCCAGTGTTGCTTTAGTTTTCCAGTTTCCCAATGTGATCAAGCAATGTGATCATGACAATTTGATGAAATCGGTAGGAAAACTCTTACTCACAATCGAGTTCACGTTTCTGACGTCGCTCAGTAATTGAACTCAGTTTTGAACATTTCTCCATGTAAATGTGTCTCATCTCAATACGCTGAGTGTTGTGCCATCATGACTAGAGTCATTTGATAGTCATCTACACCGATGACGTCATCATCACAATAATGATTAACGTGAATCATTGCAGACGTTCACAGACAAATAATAACCACTGGTCCACATGTAAATGTCGCACTGATTCTGGTCATCACAACACACGATACATGTAGAGTTAACCAAGACACCACATTGATAATTTATATATGGTGAGGTCATAGGAACTAAGCTGAGGAAATAGTACATCGAAATCTATCTCACGAGTAATCTGTTTCATTGAGCTCTGTTCAGCACAATTTTGTCAATTCAACATTCCATTCTCAACTAATAAACAAACTCTTTGTTTTCAAAATTCTCTCTTTCCTACCGCAATCCAAATCAATATGCCATGAATGTGAGTTTATTGATTATATTTTCAAACACAAGAAGATATTTTGTTCAGTTAATACTTTCCTCGATGTTCCATCAGTATAACTAGTATAACTAGTTCCTTCTCACCTACATACAGGATTACACTGAATCCCAACTGTGTTCTATGCATCAATGAATTGTGTTTGGAATGTAGGTTCAGCATGAAACCACATGGTGTTTGATGTTTGGTGTTTGATGTTTGTAGAGAGACCAGATGAAACTGTCTCCAATTGAACTGTCTGAATATCGGTAAACATTTGAAGAGATTTGAGAATGACCAACGTCCCTTCCCGACTAGTCTGATTATGTTCAACCGAATTTTCAACATCACACACACCTACTCACCATATTGTTTTCATTGTTTTGTAGAATATGAAAGCCAAATGTAAGTTCATGTAACGTTTCTGTATGTATAACAGATCAATGTTTACTTCGCTTCATCACTAATCTTAACATTTTGACTATGTAATAGATCACAGTTGCTGTCAGTCTAATCTTTTCAGAACATTCTCATTATTGATTTAGTCA